AAATTCTCCGATGCAACACAACATGCACCAACCAAATCACTCTTGATGGAGATGCTTTCGAGGACGTTAACAACTTTACATATCTGGGCAGCATCATCGACGAGAAAGGTGGATCGGATGCAGATGTGAGGGCGCGGATTGGCAAAGCGAGGGCTGCATTTCTACAGTTGAAAAATATCTGGAACTCCAAACAACTTTCAAACAAAACCAAAATCAGGATTTTCAATACAAATGTCAAGACAGTTCTACTGTATGGAGCGGAAACATGAAGAACTACGAAAGTCATCATCCAGAAGATACAAGTATTTATTAACAGTTGTCTACGCAAAATACTTCGTATTCGTTGGCCAGACAGCATCAGCAACAACGAACTGTGGGAGAGAACAAGTCAGATCCCAGTGGAGGAGGAAATCAGGAAGAAGCAGTGGAAGTGGATAGGACACACACTACGAAAAGCACCGAACTGCGTCACAAGACAAGCCCTCACTTGGAACCCTCAATGCAAAAGGAAAAGAGGAAGGCCGAAGAACACACTGCTCCGAGAAATAGAGAAAGATATGAGAAGAATGAACAAACACTGGACAGAACTGGAGAGGGAAGCTCAGGACAGAGTTGGTTGGAGAAAACTGGTGAGCGGCCTATGCTCCATTGGGGGTAACAGGCGTAAGTAAGTAAGTAAGTAAGTAATTTGGTTTTTCTTCCTTTGTCATTTTGTCCTTTGATCTACGTAGGATTGATTGGAGTGATTCTGTTAATTGATGTGCCACACCAATTCCAAATGGTTTCAGTAGTCGTGCTGTTTGCTTCGATATGTCTTTTATGTATGGTAGGATGATCCGTTTATTGGTTGCTGTACTTGATTTCGGTTCTGTTGACGGTTTTGGTTGATGTTTTTTGATGAAGTTGCGTGGATAGCCATTCTTTTGAATGATATTCACAAGATGTTTTTCCTCGTTTTTTAATGCTTCATATGTACTGCAGTGTGTCTTCGCTCTCTTAAACTAAATGATGTGATACGACTGTTGATTTTCAGAGTTAAACCTTTCCTTTCTCATGTTTACATTTTAATGGTACAAAATGATATTTACATAAATAATTTGACTACTTTTTAATTAGAAACTTGTTTAGTCATCAATCGATTTCAAAGTAAAACACTATTGAATATTGAACAGTATCATTTAAAACAAATGAAATTATAATTTGTGTCACATATTTTAGAGAGATAGAATGTTTAGGCCAGTTTTTTTTAATCACAGTTTCGTACATAACAAGACATACAACATTCATGAACGTTCAAGCCTTTTATAGGTTACAGTTATCTTATTTACTTTAATCTAAGAAGATGACTTATATTTTCAACTTTGATGAATTGATGATACTTTGGACGACTAATATTTTTTGTTAAATAATATCAACTACCAGACTATATCTTGAAATGGTTACAGATTCTAATTAGTTAGTTTTAAAATAACCGCATAGTTTTCCAGTGTTCGTTTAAACGTATGAGTAATCATCAATGACCTTGAGATGATTATGTATCAACAGTTTAAACTATTAACCAATTAGGTAACAGTATTTTTGTACATGAAATTTCTTGCCTATTGGTTAATTTATTCGAAGTTTTAACCAATCAGAACAAACCATAAGAATTCTAAATTTTAATTTCAATTTCAAATAATCGGAAAAGGGACATTATTATTATTATTTTTTTTTTCATTGAACAAATAATTCTCTTCATTAAAACTCATAAATCAAGTGTGTTCATTCATTGATATTTGTACAGTTTAATGAATAATGCATAAGATACTACTACTAGTTTACTGATGCTATAATTAAATAGGATAAGTGGTTAGTTAGAATGACAATCAAACACTGCTCAATGTTCATTACAGTTCAATTGATTTGTTTGAATCGCATCATTTGTTTTAAATTGCAGTTTATCTTCTTATGATTTAAGAAAATTGTCCATTGATTAGTTTAATTAATTAATTAATTATATTTATTTATTTCAAGATTTTTTGTTTAAATTGTGTGTTTTTTCTCTTTTATTCAATAAGTGGATGAATTCTCGGTCAGTAATTAGTGAATGGTAGCGTTTATTTTCTTTGTATATGTTATAATTCTGTTTTTATTTTAATCAGTGAATAAATAGAAGCCTAATTTTTTTTCTAAAGAAAACTAAGATTGTTACTTTCATCTTTGGTTGATTAAACGAAAGAGAAAAAGTAATTAAGTAGTATTTTATTTAAAACGAAATTATTTGTTAAGTTTCGTGTACACATATGTTGATCACATAATATATCAATCAGTTGAAACAGTGGTTGTTTCTATGGGATAGGGTTGCTGACCTCATCATGCCCAAACCCTCCTACTTTCTATGGATTTAGGACCGGCAGTAACCCTGGAAGGGCTCTAAGTGAAGTTCTAAATGTCGTTGGAAGAATTTTGTATCGTAAATAGAGATCTAATTGCTCCCAACGGCTTAAATGAATAGAATCCAGTATCTCTAGTCTTGTAAGTGTACGCTTAACTTCTAGACCATTGAGCCAGTATCCGACGCAGTTGATATGTTTCTTGAATCGATCCACAATACTGCACGATCACCTAACATCGTTTCAGGTAGGTAACTACCTCACCTGAGACAGTTGACTTGAGTGAAACTCAACAATCTCCACAACTATCATGTGCTCGCTGTTGTGAATCGCTTCTTGAGGTAATTTTCGGAATTTTAGGTCAAAAGACATGACCAGCGGAGTTCAGTCATGTCGGGTGTGAGGCGATTATTGAATGTGGTTGCATAATACTTTAGGTTGATTAAATTCAGATATTAACACCACTAGATGCCGGCTCATTGATGTAGAGATTAAGCTTTCGCATGTCAGACCGAATGCAGCGTCGTGGACACTGTTAGGATATTCATCCAAAATCCTAAGAGAATTATTGGTCAAATCTTATTGGTCCATTTCTATTGGTCAAAATTATGGTCGTTTTAACTGTCAAAGTCAAATACTTCAATGTTGTTTCTTATTGATCATCCGGACTATCAATGTCATTCCAAATGTTCTTTTTTATTGGTTGTCCTGACTATCAATGTCACAGAGTTCGATGCTGTTTCCTATTCGACCAAAATGTACAAATACGCATTATCTGTAACATTTTATGACCACAACTAGGACCAGGGCTCGGTCCCGGATCCCTAGTCCGGGATCCTAATTCTCTTCTGGATTCGGACCTTGTACTTTCTGGATGCTTGTAGAATACATGTTCTACTTCACATCACGTCTTCTTATTTTTACTTATTATAGGCGGCTGGGATAATTGGATCTGAGTAGTATGTCGTGTCACCGGATCCTCGTTTTCGTTTTTCCTACTAGGTAAACTCGTAATAATAGTTCAAGTATATCAAATTGACGTGTTTACGTGCAGGCGTAACAACACGCACTTTGGATGAGTCACATAGTAAGACGAAGCAGCTACCTAGTACTTCCAACAGTCTCATAGTAATCGTTTGATGATTTTTCAATAAATAAGTTAACTTAACTTATTATCTTCTTATTAAAATAATAAGAAAATATCAACTGTTATCAACATGATACAAATCTGTTGGTTGAAAACAGCAACAAAATGTGTACTTTCATCAAAGTTTAATTTAAATAATAAATTAGTTAGTTGAACATTGAAATAATGAAACAGCTGACATAAACTATTACATGACATTACCATAGATAATAATGCCTCTCCAATTATAGATAGAGAAATATAGAGATATATTTATGTCATGTTATGTATAACCTTTAGACATGCATAAAGAATGACAGTCGAAGTATGAGAGAGAGAGCGCCCGCGCGCGAAAGACGAGTGGGCATATAAGTTGTTTATTCAATGTATGTGATGATGATTAGTTTCGTTTAATTGGTCGCTCTCCCACACACACACACACATACACATTCATATTTTACAAAATTTACACACACAAAGTACTTATAGTTTACACTCCTCCGTCCCTCTCTCTCTCTCTCCGTGCATTCAGTTTCGGTGGATTCACCTTCATTCATTTGTAAACTGTCACCAAATACTTTTTTTTAAATTTTCTGGTTGATATTTTAGTCACAAATGTTTGTTTAAAATTTTTGAAAAAAAACAAAGATTTTACTGATACCATTTAGAGTCATTATTACACTGGGATGATAATTGAATGAAAGTAATCGCCAAAGTTTATTGGTTCCATTGTCTTAGTGATTTTTCATGTTCGAACGCATAAGAAGTACATGGGTATACATACACACTTATAATAAGTGCATGTATATATGTGTGTGTGATCATTGATGACCCAAGACAAAATCGGTCAGTGTTAGTTAATTCAATGTGTTGCAGTGATAGTTTAAACTGAGAAAATACATCACAGCTACATAACATCATAACCACAACAACGATCGATAAAAGAAAGGTTTTCTGTTGTAGATTATCAACACAATTGAATTCCATTGGTTACTGTTTCAGGTATGAGACAGTTGTTAGTGACAGTCGATGGTCACATACTGTTGTAGATTGATTGATTCACGTTAGATATGAATACCATTGAATGCCAAATCAGTGGTCTACAGTTTACAGATTTTTGAAACCATGAATCGATCAATGTTAGACCAAGAACATTAGAAACCTGGAAGCACTGAATGACGGCTGTTTCGTGATTCTGGTATGGGACTCCTCAGTGGCAGTGCGCATCCACGACTCCTTCACCCTGCAATCTAAGTGTTTACCTGTCAGAACAAAAGTCCTACGTTTGATTCCCACATTTGGGTTTCATGGCGGCGAACTATTGCAGGAAAGTCGCATACTAAGAAAAAATAGCTATCCAGTGATTTCGGTTTGTCAATCATTTCCTAACAGTGATCCGTTTATGATTTTAATGAAACAATAGAATACCAAATCAATTATTAAGTGTTCACAAGGTAGACAGATCAATGAAGTACAACCAAAAAGTCGAATATACTACTTACTAAATCCATCCATATAATTGTTGTCAGTACTTGATTTTTTTCATCCTAAATGAAAAAATTAAATGAAATATAGAAATTACATTACTATCCAAATCGATACAAACTATAAAAAATGATCCGCAAGATGATAGTAATCGATGTTTAGTGACCTTCAAACAACATGACTCATGATCGTTTGCATTGGCGCAGGTATGCTTAGATATGCTTAAACTATTACGAGTTCACCTTAGTCGAATAACGAAAACAAAGCAATGAACCAGTGTCCAGGTATGCTACTGTGATCCCTTCACCAAATTGAATCAACCAGAAATCTTAATGTAGCGCAGAAAATGTATTCAACAAACATCCAGGCAGCACATAATGAATCCAAGCACTCAAATTGCGTTTATTTCTACCCTATAGAGACGTCTTTGAGACAGTCACAAAAATAACACACTAAAATGACAGTATTCAATCACAGCCAAGTATTTTCCCGATGGGAAATGTGATCTCAAGGTCAATCGATTGGTCCATGAAATAAAACCAAAATAAAGATATTTATATCAAGCGAGTTCTGAGGATTTAACATCCACAACATTTTTAAGTTTACTTCGCTAGATTATAAACCCCTTGAATAACATCTTCAAACCTGAATCTTCTCTATTACCGCTAATAGTTCCACTGTCTCTACCGCTATAGGAATTAAATTGATAGTTGCATCTCTGTGTGCTAATGTGGTATGGCGGCATGATGTACATATGTACGAAGTTCCACGCAGTTGCATAGTGAACTATAAGGTGGTTTATTTTGGCAATGATGTTCCCAAATATGCAATGCAAACTTTTACTAATCAAAACGTTTTATTCAACAGTATTTTCATGAAAATAGACAATTAGTTCAAACTATTTTCAACTGCATTAATAAAACATAATAATACTCCCATTTGAACATGTGTGTAGGCGTTCATCAAAACACGTATGAAAGTTTGATTAAACATTTGCACAAGAAATAAATTACATGTCAAAATGATGCAACAATTTGTTCTCAAAATTAAAGGTAAATACTTTTCTATTGAATCATGCATCAATGATGGTTAGGACATCATTTGAAACCTGAAAACACCGTCACTGTATGGCACTCCTCAGTGGCAGTGCACATCCAAAAGTCCTGTTACTCACAGGATTCGAACCAGTGACCTTCAGCCTTACACGCGAACGCCTAACCTTTGGACAGATGACCAGACATCCAGCAGTGTCAGCGTCTAACTCTGATCAATCTAAAGATAATTGTGCAGCCTCAACCATTGTCTTCAGTAGTTTCTGCCTTCATTCGACAGCAGTGAACTCCACTAAACAAATCTAATCATTAGAACTTCGAAGAACCACACAAAACTAGTCACTAGTAAGCAAATTTTCATTTTCCAATAGAATATTATGGGAATGATGGTTTTAACCAGAAAACATGAATAAATCATGAGTCCAACACGAACACAAATCAGCTGTCCACTACTTCCAGGTTTCTAATGCTGATCCAACAATCATTCATTCATTCATTCAAACATATCTTATCAACGATCATTGACACAAACACAAATTTACAAACTTTAAAACTTCAGTTTTCTCAAAAGAAAAAATAATTGATTTCAGTCTCATAACTTGGAATTTTTAAATTGCTTCATTCCAAACTCATTCAATTTTTTCCAATAACAAAAAAACAGATGAAGAATCTCTCATGTTCAATATCACTTGATAATTTCTTATTCATGGTATAATAATAGTCAAGTAGTATATGCAGAGGGGAAAAAAACCCATTGAAAACGATTCATCAATCTTATTAAAAATAAAAAGAGAAGACATTTTCACTGGAAACTTATTTTTTTTTCTACTCAGAAAAATATCCTCCTCTTGATTTTTGAACTTTTAGTTAATTTGAGTATGAAAGAAATGACCAAAATTGAAGAAGAATGTAATGTAGTTTTATTCAAACTAAAAACTGTCTGGTGTTATTCAATGTTCAATTGTCTAGAAATCATTGACTTTGTTTTAATTTTTTTTTTCAAAAAAAAAGAAATACATATACGAATATATTTAAATTTTTTGGATACTTGATTAAGTATTCTTCTATTCAACAATAAAAAAAAGTATTCGGTGATATGATGTTACCACCAACAACTTGATCATTCACTATTGATCAATATGGATGGATGGATTAGATTGAAATTTGAACTATCTACAATTTGAATTTGAATTTGATATGAAGAAGATAAATGACCGAAAATTAATTTATCAGATAAATTTTTTATTTGTTATCTGAAAGTTTCTAAATGACTGATTTCATTCTGTTTCAAAGATTTCAACTGTATAGGTCGTTAATAGTTTTCGATTGCGAGTCTAGATTAAAATACTCTTGAAAATCTATTTCCATCTGATTCTTAAGTATCGTTTGTTAGCAGCCTCTGTATAAGTACCAAAAGTTGTAAAAATACAGTAGTGATATAAGATGTAGAAGATTTTGAGAATGAGTTATTGCCAATATAGTTCATTGTAAAGAATGTATGAAATCCTAAGTGATATAGTGAACCAATCAGAGATGGCCGAACGAGAAGGTCACTCGATGATGATGATGATGATGATGATGATTGGGGATGTTCTGAAGGACAAATGTGTATCATTGGTCAAAAAATAGATTTATTTTCTAAGGAGGAGCAATGTATCTATATAAATAAGGATTTATGTATAGGATTCGGTAGCCGAATAGACTCCCTCTTCAACCTTTGTAATCTCACTCAAGTAGTCAGTAAGAGAGGCATTCAAACCTAATCAAGTTGATATATCAAACAATTGAACATTGAATAATACCAGACAGATTTTAGTTTGAATAACAAAATGTTCGAAAATCAAGGGGATATTTTTCTGAGAAAAAAATAAGTTTCCAGTGAAATTGTCTTCTCTTTTTATTTTTAATAAGATTGATGAATCCACTTTCAATGGGTTTTTTTCTCCTCTGCATATACTACTTTACGATTATTATACCATGAATTAGAAATTATCAAGTGATATTGAACATGAGAGATTCTTCATCTGTTTTTTTTTTATTGGAAAAAATGAATGAGTTTGGAATGAAGCGATTTAAAAATTCCAGGTTAGGAGACTGAAATCAATTATTTTTTCTTTTGAGAAAACTGAAGTTTTAAATTCGATTTTGTGTTTGTGTCAATGATCGCTCACTAAACATGTTTGGAATTCGCATGAATGAATGAATGATTGTTAGATCACGATTAGAAACCTGGAAGTAGTGGACGTCTGATTTGTCTTTGTGTTGGACTGATGATTTATCCATGATTTCTGGGTAAAACCATCATTCCAATAATACTCTATTACAAAATGAAAATTTGCTTACTAGTGACTCGGTTTCGGTGGTTCTCGAAGTTCTAGTGATAACAGGTGGCTAGTGGAGTTCAATGCTGTCGAATGAAGGCAGAAACTACTAAAGACAACGGGTGAGGTTGCACATTAATCCTTAGATCAAATGTCTTTGGTTCGAATCCTGTGAGTATCAGGAGTCGTGGATACGCACTACCAATGATGAGTGCCATACAGTGACGAGACGGCCATCCAGTGTTTTCAGGTTTCAAATGATGTCCTAACCATCATTGGTGCATGATTCAATAGAAATGTAGTTGCGTATAATTTCGAGAACAAATTGTCGCATAATTTTGACATGTAATTTATTTCTTGTGCAATTATTTAATCAAACGTTCATACGTGTTTTGATGAACGCCTACACACATGTTCAAATGGGAGTACTATTATTTTTTTGATGAAAAACTATTTAATCATAAGTGATTTCAACACAGGAAGAAGATCTGGAAGTGGATAGGACACATATTGAAGTCGACACCATGTTAAGACCTCATTTGCAACCCTCAAGGTCAAAGGAAATGAGGAAGTTTGAAGAATACATTAGATCAAGAAATGTAGACAGACACCAGAAGAATGAACAATGATTAGACAAAACTGGAAAGGAAGGCGCAGGATAGAGTAGGTTGGAGTTTACTGTTCGATGGCATATGCTCCATTCGCGGTAACAGACGTAAGTAAGTAGTAGGCTGAGACTACGAAATATAAACTCGATCCACTCATTTTATTATCATACTTTTTAAATGGTAATATATTGCTTTGAAATACTCTGATACGGCCAAGAATGATGACAGTTCGCTTTCTCTTATCAAAATACTCTCATCTAGCAATAAGTTTGTAGCCATTGGATGTGAAGTATTACACACTGCCTTCTTACATTAGAAGTGTTGTTAGTTAATACGAAATTCATAGGATGAAAAATGAACGTCCTTTTAAAGCTTTTACTAAGTTAATGGGTAGTGAGAATCCATTTAAAAAAGGAATTAGGATACCATCACAAGTTCGAGGATCACCGATACTATATCTCATGACTTCAAGCCACACATTTAGGCGTCCTGCAATAGTTGTTTTCCTGGACCTTAAGGTGGCATTCGACTCAGTGGATCGTGAGGCTCCGTGGCAGTGTCTGTCATTGAAAGGTGTACCAAAGAAGTACATTAATCTTATACAAGCTCTCTACTCGAACACCATTGGTCAAGTGAGAGCTAATGGCGAACTGTCACCGGAATTCTTTACTTCAAGTGGTGTCCGTCAGGGATGTCCACTTTCTCCATTCTTGTTTAATTTTATCATAGACATGCTCCTAGAAATAACCTTATCCTCGTCTGAATTTTCAGGAGTAGACCTTCTACTAGGTGGCTCGCTTATTGACTTAGAATATGCCGATGACATAGTCCTACTTGGTGAAGACGCTGACAAAATGCAGAGTCTTCCGACTACCCTAAGCAACAATGCAAGCGTGTTCGGGATGCCATTTTCCCTCTCGAAATGCAAAGTGTTGCTTCAAGATTGGGTTGCATAGGCACCTGAACTAGTGATAGGGAGTGAAGTAGTCGAACGTGTTGACCGCTTCACTTATCTTGGGAGTCTGATCAGTGCTGGATGGCCTGGTGACTGACGAAATCTCGGCGCGGATACAGAAGGCTCGATTGGCTTTTGCCAACCTGCGTCACTTATGGCGTAGGCGTGATATCCGTTTGCTGACTAAAGGACGAGTGTACTGTGCAGTAGTTCGCTCCGTCTTACTTTATGGCTGTGAAACATGGCCAGTGAGAGTAGAAGATATTCGTCGGTTATTGGTTTTCGATCATAGGTGCCTTCGAAGCATTGCTCGTGTATCGTGGGACACCCGAGTGAGCAACGCTGTTATTAGGAATCAGGCACTAGGTAAGAATGAATTGACAATTACATCTCTGTACTGATGTGGTATGGCAATATGAACTAATGTACTTACGTACAAATTTCTACGTTGCATCTGACTGACTGACAAGCCACTTACTGCCTTGTCCTCTAGGTTAAATTTTCAAACAGTGAGAGCCTTTTTAAAAAGAAAACCACTTTCACGTTGATTTAGACAGTATGATTGAAAATATCATCATTATGATGATTAAAATTAAAAGAAACGAAGAATTAAATTCCCCGGTACATTTAACTTACCACATCCATTACTTGATTTAGAAAAAATTTCACACTAACATTCAATGTTTCAGTATCATTCGCCGATGGACGTTCAATTGGATTATGTGCATCTGGTCGTGTAGTATCAAATAAATATTTCAATAAACGTTTTTCATATAATCCTGATAAGACCAGATCTTTTTCAAAATAAACACAAGAAAAAAAGAATGAACGAATATGAAATATGAAATAATTTACTGAAAGAAATGTTAAGAAACATTGAACAATTAACACTAGATCGCTATAAATAGTCAAAATTTGTTGAATTTCATGTGAAATTAGGGAATTGATCACTGTTAGACCATTATTCGACTAGCTGAAGTTAAATAATTAACATTATTGTTTGTCGAAATCAATGTGTAGTGAAGGAGAACACCGGTGAGGGCAACCGAATTGCATTTATCCAAAATTACAGAGTTAATCAGTAAAATAGGAAAATCATATCGTAAACGGTTAATTTGCAAATCTTCAATCCATCATCAATCCATTGTCTTACGTTTCACTATTCATGCGTTTCATACAAATTCCATTGTGTTCTTCTAACTTTTCCTTTCTTGATATTCCTCCATCTTCTGCTGCCAGACATTACGTTTACACTCGCGTCATATACTACTTATAAGTAGCGCGCACCACAAATGGTCTAGAGATTAGGCAATCCTGAGTGATACTAGAGTTCTTGGATGTACATCGCCATTGATGAGTTCCATGCTAGGACGAAACAGCTGTCGAATACTTCTAGGCTTTCTAATGGTGATGCTCTGACATTGACCGGTTCTTAATTTGTATGAAAATTATTATGATTAGATTTACTGAAGAAATAGTAGAGTCTTTTTTTTCCAAGTGTTATGCTCATCACTTGATATGCTTGAAACTATTACAAGTCAATAGACGAGAGCAAGACAATGAACCAGTGTCCTGGTAGGCTACTCTGATCCGTTGACCCAAAAATACTAACGAAGAAGTCTTGATATGGAGTAGAAAGTGTATTATTCTACAAACATCCAGCCAATACAATCATCTCAAGCATACAAATCGCATTTATTTATTTATACATCATAGAAACGTCCTTGAGAGAGTCACAAAAATAGCACACTAAAATAACACAGTAACCAATCACATCCAGGGCTATTCCTGGTGGGAAATGTGATCTCAGGGTCAGTTGATCAACCCATCAAATAAAACCGAAATTAAGACATCTATCAAGTGAGTTCTGGGTAGATCAAACGTCCTACAACACAAAGATTAACCAACATGTAATGTAATGGAAGATTGTTTTTGATTAGAATATAAAGATGTGTTGATCAGTTTCAGTTATCTAATATTTACTCGTGCATATATACATAGACCTTCTGCACATAATTAAATTTTATTTGAAATGTATCGGATTTATTCTGTACCTGATATTTTTCGACTATGACTTATTTGATCGGTGTTTGTTAGCATATACGCAACTAAATCCAGTAGACGAGTTCTAATTAAGAACGAATGAGCGTCTTAGATTCTATTAGCGCTTACACATTTTAACCACAATAGAGCATAGACCGTTGGCCAGCATTCTCCAACCTACTCTTTACCGAACCTTCCCTTCCATTTCTGCTCATTCTTCTCATATCTTTCGCTATTTCTCGGCGTAATGTGTTCCTCGGCCCTCATCTTTCCAAGTAAAGGCTTGTCTTGTGATGCAGTTGGGTGCTTTTTGCAGTATGTGTACTGTCCACTTCCAGCGATTCTTTCTGATATGTTTCTCCGCTAGAATCTGATTTGTTCTCTCTCACATAGTTGTTGTCTGGTCAACGAATCCGAAGTATTTTGCGTAGACAACTTTTAATAAACACTTGTATCTTCTGAATGATATGACTTTCGTAGTTCTACAAGTTTCTGCTCTATACAGTTAGTTGAACTGTCTTGACATTTACATTGAATATTATAACTTTCATGTTGATTGACAGTTGTTTTGAGTTTTGAGATATTGTTCAAGGGTAGAAAACGTTGCTCCGATCCACGGCTTCACATCTGCATCAAATCCACCTTGCTCATCAGTTATGCTGATCAGATAGGTTAGTGAACTGATTAATGGCCCTGTTAAATTGTACAGTCTTTCGTAACAACCACTAATAATCTTTTATGATAATAAATGAAATATTATTGTTCCACATACTGCGTATCACATAACTGTCACGTTTGAGTCTAACTAATTTCAATGAGTTTATAATTATTCCACAACTCACTCATATTTATGTTTAATTCATTACGCAGGTCAACGTTTTTCCTACTCAAACTTTAAACTAATCAAAAACCGTGACTAGAAAATCATTGTCAACTTAGAATTACTCAGTGTACATGACATTTTATTAGTAAGTAGTATGTACCCATCATTTTGATCATAGACTAAAATGTTCGGTGATTCTTGCAAATTACCGATCGATAATTAACACTAATACGAAAAAAAATAAACGTCATCATTTTTTTTCAAGCAGTCTTTATTTAATTGATTCCGTTTCATTGCTTCAATTCCGCCTGGAGCCCTTCTAGGATAACTACCGGTTTCAAGGGTGGATAAAGGAGGAGCGTTAGTGACATGATGAGGTTAGCGACTTAATCCCGTTGAAATCCAAATCGCTAAAAAGGCGTTAATCGAAAAAAAATGATTTACTGGTTGATGGTCTATGCTCCATTAGGGGTAACACATGTAAGGAAGTAAGTAAGTAAGTAAGTAAGTGCATAAGTAAGTAAGTAAGTAAGTAAGTGCATAAGTAAGTAAGTAAGTAAGTAAGTAAGTGCATAAGTAAGTAAGTAAGTAAGTAAGTAAGTAAGTAGGTAAGTAAGTGCATAAGTAAGTAAGTAAGTAAGTAAGTAAGTAAGTAAATGCATAAGTAACTGCATAAGTAAGTAAGTAAGTAAGTAAGTGCATAAGTAAGTAAGTCAGTAAGTAAGTGCATAAGTAAGTAAGTAAGTAAGTAAGTAAGTAAGTAAGCAAGTAAGTAAGTAAGTAAGTAAGTAAGTAAGTAAGTAAGTAAGTAAGTAAGTAAGTAAGTAAGTGCATAAGTAAGTAAGTAAGTAAGTAAATGCATAAGTAAGTGCATAAGTAAGTAAGTAAGTAAGTAAGTAAGTAAGTAAGTAAGTAAGTAGGTAAGTAAGTGCATAAGTAAGTAAGTAAGTAAGTAAGTGCATAAGTAAGTAAGTAAGTAAGTAAGTAAGTAAGTAAGTAAGTGCATAAGTAAGTAAGTAAGTAAGTAAGTGCATAAGTAAGTAAGTAAGTAAGTAAGTAAGTAAGTAAGTAAGTAAGTAAGTAAGTAAGTAAGTAAGTAAGTAAGTAAGTAAGTAAGTAAGTAAGTAAGTGCATAAGTAAGTAAGTAAGTAAGTAAATGCATAAGTAAGTGCATAAGTAAGTGCATAAGTAAGTAAGTAAGTAAGTAAGTGCATAAGTAAGTAAGTAAGTAAGTAAGTAAGTAAGTAAGTAAGTAAGTAAGTAAGTAAGTAAGTAAGTAAGTAAGTAAGTAAGTAAGTAAGTAAGTAAGTGCATAAGTAAGTAAGTAAGTAAGTAAGTAAGTAAGTAAGTAAGTAAGTAAGTAAGTAGGTAAGTAAGTGCATAAGTAAGTAAGTAAGTAAGTGCATAAGTAAGTAAGTAAGTAAGTAAGTAAGTAAGTAGGTAAGTAAGTGCATAAGTAAGTAAGTAAGTAAGTAAGTAAGTCAGTAAATGCATAAGTAACTGCATAAGTAAGTAAGTAAGTAAGTAAGTAAGTAAGTAAGTAAGTAAGTAAGTAAGTAAGTAAGTAAGTAAGTAAGTAAGTAAGTAAGTAAGTAAGTAAGTAAGTAAGTGCATAAGTAAGTAAGTAAGTAAGTAAATGCATAAGCAAGTGCATAAGTAAGTAAGTAATTAAGTAAGTAAGTAAGTAAGTAAGTAAGTAAATGCATAAGTAAGTGCATAAGTAAGTAAGTGCATAAGTAAGTAAGTAAGTAAGTAAATGCATAAGTAAGTGCACAAGTAAGTAAGTAAGTAAGTAAGTAGGTAAGTAAGTGCATAAGTAAGTAAGTAATTAAGGAAGTGCATAAGTAAGGAAGTAAGTAAGTAAGTAAGTAAATGCATAAGTAAGTGCATAAGTAAGTAAGTAAGTAAGTAAGTAAGTAGGTAAGTAAGTGCATAAGTAAGTAAGTAATTAAGGAAGTGCATAAGTAAGTAAGTAAGTAAGTAAGTAAGTAAGTAGGTAAGTAAGTAAGTAAGTAAGTAAGTAAGTAAGTAAGTAAGTAAATGCATAAGTAAGTGCATAAGTAAGTAAGTAAGTAAGTAAGTGCATAAGTAAGTAAGTAAGTAAGTAAGTGCATAAGTAAGTAAGTAAGTAAGTAAGTAAGTAAGTAAGTAAGTAAGTAAGTAAGTAAGTGCATAAGTAAGTAAGTAAGTAAGTAAGTGCATAAGTAAGTAAGTAAGTAAGTAAGTAAGTAAGTAGGTAAGTAAGTAAGTAAGTAAGTAAGTAAGTAAATGCATAAGTAAGTGCATAAGTAAGTAAGTGCATAAGTAAGTAAGTAAGTAAGTAAGTGCATAAGTAAGTAAGTAAGTAAGTAAGTAAGTAGGTAAGTAAGTAAGTAAGTAAGTAAGTAAGTAAGTAAGTAAGTAAGTAAGTAAGTGCATAAGTAAGTAAGTAAGTAAGTAAGTGCATAAGTAAGTAAGTAAGTTAGTAAGTAAGTAAGTAAGTAAGTAAGTAGGTGAGTAAGTAAGTAGGTGAGTAAGTAAGTAAGTAAGTAAGTAAGTAAATGCATAAGTAAGTGCATAAGTAAGTAAGTAAGTAAGTAAGTGCATAAGTAAGTAAGTAAGTAAGTAAGTGCATAAGTAAGTAAGTAAGTAAGTAAGTAAGTAAGTAAGTAATTAAGTAAGTAAGTAAGTGCATAAGTAAGTAAGTAAGTAAGTAAGTGCATAAGTAAGTAAGTAAGTTAGTAAGTAAGTAAGTAAGTAAGTAAGTAGGTGAGTAAGTAAGTAGGTGAGTAAGTAAGTAAGTAAGTAAGTAAGTAAATGCATAAGTAAGTGCATAAGTAAGTAAGTAAGTAAGTAAGTAAGTAAGTTGCTGTAGAGCATAGACAGTAAATAATCGGACATTACGAACACAAATTTTTATAAAGCAATCAATATTTAAATGAGGTCTAA